ATGGAGAAGGCGGGGATAATGAATTGAATTAATCCGATTAATCTGATGGCATGACTCGACCATGCAGGTGTGGTCCCTCCTGAATTTTACCTTATATCTTTTATTCATATTAGATATAATGTTCTATCTCTAGCCTAAGATTATTCTCTATCATGTATTGGTAATAGTTACGATGCAGTGAGTCGGTGTAGATAATGATGTGACTTCCGCGTAAGATCTTATAGATTAGGCAGTTATATCATAACAAATCTACAATTTTAGGATTAGGTCTATTATTAGGGCTTTTTTGGGAAAGTAGAACAACAGACACTTGGTTATTCAGCTGTCGATTTTGACTCTGGAAAAATCGTTTAATAGCAGTGATCTTGAAATACGGTCAAGGCCAGACGTACAGTTTACAAACGCACATCAAAAGTACTTATCACTTTTTTCGAAAATGAACACTGCTTATTAATGTTTGACAACAGCAGAATCTAAAGTACTTTCTTCTATTTATAAGCAAACTGATTTGCATCAATGCACTCATTAAGAAAGGACTGATATGGGAGTCTCAGTAGATTCTCTGTCGTTTTAAGCAAAGGCTAAGTTATAATAATGCGTCCATATTGTTAGTCTTACATGTAAATTACAAACGAAGTGAATAAGTGGTATGTTTGAACTAGTGGGAATATGATAAACGTGATATGTCAACATCATATCCTCCTGTACTGTACAAGTTCTAAACTCTCAACATCAGCTTCCGGGAGCTAGTTACACAGTAATGTATACATAATCTCACAGTGATCGTTTTCTAGTTATGGTGCTTAAGCACACTATAGGGAATGAAGAATATAGTACCTCTACTTACAAAACTGACTTGTTTCATTACTTCCTTCAAGCACTATAATTATATCGATCAAACTGAATTATAAGATAACCAAGTGTACTAAGCTAAACAGGTGCCCTAATTATTGTTTTATTTGCACAGACATGTTACTTAAAGTAGTTGAATAAGGATAATTAGGCCTACACACCCAATGAAACGAACTACAGGCCAATAAGTCTTACCTAGCAGAGGACAAAAGATATTGTTTCCAGACTGAAAACAATGGTGATTTATGCATCAAAACATAATTTACAGCACAACAGACATTTCTCCAGTAACATTATTTGTTGAAGGTCTACTTAAAAAAAACAGTGACTTCCATTAGGTTTCCTATGGCTTGCAATATCATCCCAGCGTGCAATGCATGTCTGATGTGATGGAGTTTGACGTGGTAAGTAAAAATTATAGCCAGAACAAGATTCACGGCGTAATCTATTTTTTACTAAAAGCTACATCATAATATGACAAATTGATTACATTAATGTAAACTTGACCATTATTCTGGTATATGATACATTAAGTTGACGCTAAGCATAAATCCACACTTAGTTTCATAGCAATGTGATATACTAAATGGATGTCTAACCTACAATACAAAAACTTTAGATGTCTAATTTGCTCGTAACGTGGAACTAGTAGAGACAGTGTATTTCGACAAAGTGTGCAACATACAGCTTAGGTTAAAGCAATATTCATGAGAGCCAGCTAAATATTTGAAGCCTTACTTAATATGAGTAGTAAATTAAGACAATATTTCATAGTCCCCTGGGAACCGGGTTGGTTTACACTTCATAAAGTTGCATGTTTTAATGCTCAAAAGTATCGCTAACAATCGACTAACGTAAGAAAATATTGCATGCATGCCCACTACTGGCTGTGTGATTTATTAGTCAAGTGCGTGACCTAGCACCCAAGAGAAAGAATGTCCAAGTACGTGCGGGAGCAGCACTTCTGTTCAGCTGTGATTCCGGTGATCTGGGTGGCTGTTGTAAATCTCGTGAATCTGTCTATGCGTGTAAGTAGATAATTGAAACAATCAAAATACAGTAAAGGATTTACCGAATGAGGATATACACGAGCAAAACGTGCATCTGGCTGTAAAAAAACTCGGATGGGGAAATGTCTGTGACAATTAACCTTTGATTGTCAACTCACGTAACATTATCAGACCCACTTGTACCCATTTTTGTAGATTCGGACACATATATATATATATATATATATATATATATATATCAGGCATTGATCAGTTTGGTAGTAGCTCTTGCACCAGTGTGAGACAAATAATGAGCCAGTTAGATAGTCGCCCTCGCCATAAGCGACGTAAGTTGGAAAAAGCCAAACGAGTTTTTTGAATCCGTGCAGAGATTTCGTCAGACTCCAACCCACTAGGGTCGATCAGACTTCCAAGATAAGTAAAGTTGTTGATGCGTTCAACTACTTCACTCCCTATCCTTAGTTCAGGTGTTGACTCAGGTCAGTTCTGGGACAACAACTTGCATTCAGAGGAGGAGCATTGTTGCTTAGTGCTGCCAAAAGACTCTACATCTTATCAGTGTCTTCACCAAACAAAACTACGTCATCTGTCAATTCTAAGTCGATAAGTGGCCCCCCCTAGTAGGAGATGGATTCCTGAAAATTCAATCGACAATAACGTTAGGAAAAGGTTACGTAAAGACAATACGCAGCTCAGTTCTTTCACACTTAATCGATAGTGGTCATGTAGTGGACAGAAATAAGTCATTTAAAGTTATTTATCGTATTCCCACTAATTTTCCCTATGGTGTTCGATCTCGTCTCTTACACATAGCAGAAGCTATAGGAATTCGAGCCAACAAGCCGAGTCTTTGTGTTCAGAAGAAATTTGTAACACCCTTATCTCTCCCTTGGCCTTAATAAATGAATTTAATTATTATTTATTTTCAAACCTTCTCTTTGTTTTATCAATTCTTCTTCACCCCCTCCTACTATTTTATTTTTATTTTTATTTTTTCACGGTTCAATTATCTGAACACTTCTCATTACGTCATCTTATAATAATTTTATAAATGTTATCTTACTATCTATATTTTTCTAATCATTGACCTATTTCCGATTATGTAACATTGATTTGAGCCTTTATTATTCTTAGAAAAACTAATACACCTGTCATCACACTATCTATTTGTACTTTTCACATATTATGTAATCGTTTTATTCATCGTTATCATTGATTTATAAACTACCTTGATTGGTTTAATAATTTCGTATATGCATATAAATATTACTGTATATTAGAGTAAAGCCTGATGAGGATCTAATCGAAAACAATATTGTTCGCTTATATATGTTGTTCTAAATTTACATTATGGGAATATTTCAAATTTTGAAATAACGTTATTCCCAGCAGTAAATCTATGATGAAGTTGAAAAAAGATGGAAATAGTGGAGAGCCTTGACGGACACTACTTGAAGTTGCAAAATCAGATGACAGCTCGTCATAAGCTCTGCTTTGTCAGGTAGTGTTCGAGTGGAGATCCTTCACAAGATTTATGTACTTCTGAGGTGCACCTTTCAATGATAGACACTTCCACGGAACCTCTCGATCCACAAAGTCGAATGCTGCTTTTAAGTCAAGAAGCACTACCATTGTCGGACGACGATAAGCATACCAGTGTTCTAAAACCTGATGAATGGTGGATAAATGGTCGATATAGCCACGACTAGGTCTGAAGCCAGACTGATTCTCTCATGTTTGCAGTTCATGAGCCTTCGTCAGGTGCTCAATAATTATTGAGGCTAGTACTTTAGACGCTCTGCTGGTCAAACTAATCCCTTTATGGTTATTACAGGAGGATTTTGACCCTTTCAGTGATTGCGATCAGTCAGATGGGATTGCATTCAGTTTTCAGGTTTGAGCTAACATATTAGTCAACCTGTTCGCCAAAACTGGACCACCACCTCTTAAGTTCTCTGAAGCCATTCCATCTGTACCAACTACTCTTCCATGTTTCAGATTAACCATTGCATCTTAAATCTCAAGCAGAGTCGGGGTTTATCTCAATGTCTCATTCAGGTTGTCTGGGATAGGTGTGTAGTTGTAGAGTAGCTGAAGACCAGCTGAACTGCTCCTTAAAGTGCTCCGCTCATCGTTCTGAACGTCTGGACTCAGTAAGGTAAGAGTGTCGTCTCTTTCCGAGATAGCCTCACTTACACTTGACTTCTTAATTCCAGTTTCTTTTATTAGTCTGAAAAGCTGTCTGGTGTTACCCACAACCACTGCCTTTTCCATCTCTTTTGATTTCGTTGCACATCACTGCATACGGTCGTTCCTTAGACTTTTGCTTAACCTAGATTTGATTTGTTTTTAATCTTCTTCGTGTTCAGAGCCTGATGGGATGCGCTTACTAGAATCTATCAGTTCAATAAACTTAGCAGAAATCCACTGGTTTTTCGTAACACTGATTTAAATAACAAATAGATGTTGCTGCTGTTTCCACAGATGTTTGAATATTTTTCCGAGCAACACCTGTGTCAGCCTCATTTTCGAAATCTTCTAAGTGTGACTTCATTTGTTTCTCGAACTTACCTTTGACTTTCTCATCGCTGAGTTTAACTCTAATGGGTCATCTTAATGGGGTTTTTCTGTGTCCAGTGAGACGAAAGCAAATATGTGCTCGTATTAGATTATGATCAGAGTTCAAACATGTATTCCAGAACGAGCGAAAGTTTTCTACCGAGCCTCTCCAACGATAACTGATGGCAATATGGTCTATTTGTGTCTGTCGTTGATTTGGTACAGGGGGTTGCCTTGTCAGACGATGTTTCTCCTTATGCTTAAAATTAGTGCTTGCTAAAAATAAACGATTGTCTGAGCGCAGTTGCAACAAACGGTCACTAATATCTGTCCACTGAGCCAAAATACCAAAATACTCACCTAAATGTCTTACTGTTTAGTTTAAGCTAAATACTTGGGTATTCAAGTCACATATTATGAGTATATATATTACTTCCATTCATGATCACAAATAACAATTCGAACTTGAATCGGCAAACTTCATGTCAGATCAAAAGTCCATATTCGCCTTCAGTTATATGGAGAAGAGAGTTATTTAACCAATACTTTTAATTCGTCAGAGTTTTCTCACCTTGAAGTGTAAGGCGCTCCGCACAGAATTTGTTCTTGTAACACGTTTGAAACTTTACACTATCAGCTTCCTGTTTTTAGTTGTCAGGTTGTCTTAATTCCACGCTTTTGTTACTTCTGAATATTATCAATTACTTTATTTTTTGGATGTAAATGCATCGTGTGTGCTTATTGAGTCATCGGCTTACTTTTTCTCGTTGTTTCCAGATAATCTCGCGTACTGCTCTTAACACTTCTACAAAACACGAGGTGCCTTCAAGCTAAACGCGAATCTACCGAAGACTATAGGTCACACTATTTTTGTGGTGTTTTCAAGAATGGCAGAACAGTCTGTTGAGGAAGGCGAGTTGGAGAGCGATATTAAAAATGAATACAAGCCACCTGAAAAACGCACTCTGGAAGAGATCATGAATCTAGACAAGGAAGACGAAAGTTTGCGAAAATACAAAGAGGCACTATTGGGTCCAGCTGTTGGCTCGTTTAAGGTTCCTTGTATGTTTAACTTCATGTGCTAATTTCTACACAGTTCCAGAAAAACCTGCAAATGTTGTGTTCGAGAAGTTCTGTATTCTCGTTGATGGGCAACCGGATATTGAGTTCAATCTCTTGGGTATGTCTGCTTGTTTTTCTCTATTATACTCCTGAAAGTGTTACTTAAGCGTGCCCAATTGAGTATTGTAAAGTAATATTTGGATCTTGATATCAACTAGGCAATCAAAATATTGGGAATTATACTTTGGAACCAAACTGATAATGGAATTTTTAGTGAGTCATGTTCAATATAAAGCCTGACATGTCAACCAGTATGACCATACTAAACTACAGTGTAACGGAACTAACAAAATGTGTCTGAAAATTGGTAGTGACGGTAGTATCAACTATACAAATATGTAAAATACAGAAAAAGACTATCTAAAAATAAGTGGTGAATTAGAGGGAACAAAGGTATGAAATAGTGCTAATGTCAGTCACTTAAGGATAGTTAAAGGGATGTACATCATTTCAACCGATTCCTAACAATGTTGCCACATTCTTCCAGACGTTGGTCGATGTTATTGCGTAGACCTCGCCCAGTTAGTCTATATCCACCAATACGACTAAGTCCGACAGTCCTTTACTTCTTGTGCTAATATCAACTGGTTTAACCTTTATCCCCCAATTCATTCCCACCAGCACGTCTATGCAACAGGTGGTTGGATATACATGACAGGCGTTTCATTCATTTCGGTGAAGACTCACAACTTATTTTCCATCTTCATATAGGATCCTACCTTTCACATGAATTTCGCTCACTCAGTTGTCCCACGATATGCAAACAATAATTTAGAGACACCTATGATCAGAAACCTGTAGCCATTTCATGTCTTTATTACTATAAACTGTGCTTCAAAGCTATCGTGTAATGCAAAGCAAACTGTTGAGTAATATGCCCACTTGTTCCTAACTTCCCTTAAATAGGTAACTTTAGACACCGGGTAAGTAGAAAGAGAAGCCGGTTGTGTTCTTGTTGGAAATTGAAGCACCATTTAAACTAAATAGGATTTTCGCTTCATTGATCTGTAAAATCTTAGAAGTACTGTTCATCTGCTAATTGACAACACAAACTTTCCTTTGCATATTGTTTCAGACTGTTATTGATCCACTGTGTGGTGCAGTTTTTGTCAGTATGTATCAAAATTCTTGTGCCGTGACAAATGAATTTGAGCGTTCATGTAAATAGTGAGCAACGATATGTGCTCAGGAATATCTTTGCCATCCGATTTATATGTAGAGAAGGATGAGTGCTTCAGAAAATTTATTTATTTTAACATAAATATTGGTACAAGGAGGCACCAAATACATATGCACCACACATATCTAATTTGATATGTGTGAGGGCTGTGATACTGCCCGGGTGCCCAGACCGAAGCAGGGCTGCCCAAACTGAAGCTTCGGACACTATGAAATACCTGCCTGTCAGTCAGCTACAACGTAGGACCAGGCACATATATGCATCGGTCCAAGTTGCCACACCTTATTAGCGCAAGAAGATGAACACCAAATTCATAGTAGTCACTTCAATGATGGTAATATACAAAAGAAAGATTGCATATAAGGGTATAGTACAATAAGTAAGAATTAGTTCGTAGGAAAAAAGATATGAAGCAATTTTAATCTCATAGTTTAAGGGAAGACAAAGAGTGTATACACCTACGTCTTGTCACACAGAGTCCCCAACCATTGGTTACGATAGTCACGCGGGCCCCAACTAAGTAGTCTGCATCTACCAACATGGCTCAGACTAGAAATTAGTGACTTCAAGCACTGAGGCCACGTTTTGGTTTGGCCACCAACAACTTTCTTCCAGCCGTCCCCAACACTAGTCAGCATTGGGCGTCGTGGTAATCGGTGTTCAGGCGTACGTAACACGTGGCCCGACCATCTCAGTCGATGAAGATTTACAACCTCATCAACATGTTAACCATCATTCCCTAATACCCTGAGTCTAACCTCACTATTACTTATTCGGTGATCCCAGCAGATGCGAGCAATATTTCTAAGGCATCTGTCGTCAAATACTAGTAGCTTGTGCGTATCTTCTCTTAACGTTCGCGTTTCGTAGCCGCACAGTAGGACAGAACGAACTACTGCGCAGTATACTCGTACCTTAATTGATAGACGGATATCTTGCTTTCGCCATAGGTGACTTAAGTTGGAAAAAGCCAAACGAGTTTTTTGAATCCGTGCAGAGATTTCGTCAGACTCCAACCCACTAGGGTCGATCAGACTTCCAAGATAAGTAAAGTTGTTGATGCGTTCAACTACTTCACTCCCTATCCTTAGTCCAGGTGTTGACGCAGGTCAGTTCTGGGACAACAACTTGCATTCAGAGGAGGAGAAACGCATCCCAAACATTCTAACCTTTCACCAAAAATGCGACAATGCACACGTTACCTAACTTTCATCCTCTTTTAATCCTAATGATATATTATTTTAGTTGGAACTAATCTAGTTAATCATGATACGTCTCAAGATCGATTTATTTCACAAGGGTCGTTGCAATTATGTAAGTTTATAGCCGAATTTGCCCAGTTAGATCTGCCTTATGAAGCCCCAGATTTGTCAGTTGATTACAAACTACGTAAGATTTAGCAAACATGTGTCGGTACAAATAGTCACAACTCACTGATCCAGTGAAAAAAACATTGAATGAAAGTAACAGTAAGAATAATAGTATAAGTGATAGTAGCAAGCTAAACAGCAAATATAGTTCACAAGGAATGGTGGTAATAAGAGGACAAATACATAATTTAGTGATGATAGTATTTCTTAGTCAACTGAGCTTATTGATTTTGCAAATTGTATGCATACATTAGGTCAGTGATTAACCGCAAGCTCAATTTGTTCAGGTTTATCAGTCAATCAAAATGTTTAAAATGATGTTTTAAGATATTACAGAAGGAAGTTGAGAAATGACTAAGCCAAAAATTCAGAAACAATCGCATTACATACTCTAGAACCTCCTCTACAAAGGCAGTTGGGGTAATAGTTAGAACAGGAAAGAACTTGAATTATTTAGATCAATTCATCAAGTTAATCTTAACTTTGAATTGTATGAAACGGCAGGATTCAGCTAATATCAAGATCAGGACATCATCGATGACGTTAAGTAATAGTCATGCAATCTCATAAGTCGGTTAAAAGCGTGAAACCGTTAATTCCAAATGACAAAAATCACCAGCTTCATTTAGACCAATTTCGAATCATGCCAGGATTATTAACCCGTGTATAAAACTCACTATGAGTCACCAATATTTAACTGATGATCCCTTTTTTAAAATTCTGTTACTTCAATCCCGTTTCATCATTTTTATATTACAGAGGAAATTCTAACGACTGACACTTCTTTATATATTCATTTACTTTATGCTAGTTATGCTTTACTATGCTATAATTCCATTATTGTTAAAGCGTGCTAGAGTAAAAGTCGTATTGATTAGTTCGAAATTAGCTACTATCACGATTTAATTTCTATCAGTACTTTACATTTTTCTGATGTAAATTATGATAACTTTGCAATCGATACCCGTCTGTATCAGCGTTTTTTGGCTAAGTTCCTTTATATGTGATGGGCTTGCTAACCTCATGCCCGACTCTCCTTTATCCTGGTTTTCGACCGACAGTAGTCTTAGAAGGGTTCCAAGCGGAGCTGTTTATTTCAGCTTCAACATCCATATCTATTTGGGGTGTGGAAGTTTGAATCAATTGATTGCCTTGGCATATTCGAATTCATTTACTAGTTGTCTGTCTAAAATTAACGGTTGGAAACATTCTGTTCTTTATAAGATAGTTTTTAAGTGAAAGAATTAACTCATTTACTGGTTTTCTCGTTATCTTATAGTCAAATTTTTGGATAAATGTTTTTTAAGTTGTTCTTGTTTGAATTTCAGGTGATACCTCTGACTTCAAGTCGAAACCTGTCTCAATCGTCGAAGGCTGCAGTTACCGTATTCAAGTCGTGTACTATGTACAAAGAGATATTGTTTGTGGGCTACGTTTCAAGCAGTGGTTACGTAAAGGCCCTATTCTAGGTAGGTAGTTTTCTGCAATTCCAATTGATTACTTTTTTAAATACTTTGTCAATGAAAGGAGTTTATGAGTCACATTGTTCGTCTCAGTCAGGTTAATAGTTTAAAAAGTCAATTGGTTTGAAAATGAAACCGAATAGCCCCTAAAAGCTGGTATCATTTGATGAATTTTTATACGAAGTTCCCCATGGATACCCCCAAATGCTCTGGTACGACCGAAATTGGGAAAAGTCAGCTCTCCCTCTCAAAATGTTCTCACATGACCACGCGTATACAACCACTGTCAGGGAAGTCCTGCCCACTGTCTTCTTGCGGTGAGGGTGTTTTTTACTAAACTGAGGGGATGGAAGGCGAATGTCCGGAGCTTTAACCCGGTTGGCGGACACAGGGTCCACCTATGGGAGTTGGAAAACCCTGATTCCAAACCAATGGTGCATATGGGCTCCAGGATCCTGAAGAAAAAAATAGCGTACGAACCTATTGTCGGTCACGGGCTACCATGGGGCTGCATCTCTTAATGTTGCTTCACTTCCTTGTGGATTAGACCCCTTAGTCAAAGGCTCAGGGTGTGGCTCCCTAGGAAAACCACTTGCCTCGGTTTGGGCACCCGGCCAGTATCCCAACTCTCACACAAACCACTTGGTTTGTGTGGCGCATATATATTTGATGCCTTCTTGTATCGATGTTCATGAGTTTAAATAAAATAAATAAGTCGATGCGAAATTCCAATCCTTAGCTAAATAAAACTCACGGATTTTTGCGAACACAATGCTATCGACTGTCTTGTTCATAATTTCCTGAACCTTTAATGATTTAAATTTTTTACCGGTTAAATCTGCACTCAACGGTGTTTAAATGTAGTCTGGTCTTGTTATTTATGAATTTACATTCGAGCCTTGGGCTACATTATGAAAATTCTATATATATACTATAAAACCAAACTCATTTAATTACATGGATTTTCGATGACTTTCACTGTTTTGAAATATTTTGCATTTGAAACTAAATTCAAATAGACAACTATTGAAAAGAAGGGGGGACTGAACATCTGTTTCGTTCTAATTTTTGACTACTAAGGACTGTTCACTCACGACTCTGGCAGGGATCCATCTAAGGTTTCGGTGTAATTAAACAACTTTGAGATTGAAACGTACCGTCGAATACATTGCATAGTGGTCATGCAATCTTGTGAATTGGTGGGAGTTAGAATTATAAACTAGTCGATTCTGAATTATTGGTCTAAGGGTCACTTACTGGTTGCTAGGCCTGAAGTTCGTGAATCCACACTACTACTACTGAGGAGCCCCAAATAAAAACAGTAAAACTGTTCAGTGCGCTCCATCTTCTATTAATTTTACATCTAATTGATGTCAGTCCATAATCTGAGTATATATATATATATAAGAGCATCTTTATAAACCTTTTATCCTAATATACTCACTGTCATCAGTAATGAAAACAATTAAACCAAGCGCTTGTGTCTACTCACAAAAATAAAATATTAACAGTCATTCCCGTATTTCACTTTTAACTTTTGTTTCGTAGTTGATGAAATTTCCGTAATGCTAGGCAACTTTCGTCCCCAAGGACATCCTCATATCTGGACATCGGACCCTGAAGAAGCCCCTAAAGGTGTTTTATCACGTGGCTTATACAAAATTGTGAGTCAGTTTATCGATGATGATAAAGCGGAATATATCACCTGGAAGTGGTGTATTAATATAGTTAAAAAGTCTACAGATTCTTAACAACATATAAATCAGTATTTGTCCACATAAATATGCCTGCGTGTGTTTGTATCTATTAATATTATTACTTCATCTTCAAACTTCTATTCAATTGTTTTCGTTTCATGTCACGATAGATATTCATTGGTGTGTTGATGAATGTACATCTCTTTGTGTTGGTATATATATATATATATATATATATATATATATATATATATATATATACTCTTATCATTTTTTCACAGAAACTTTTGCTTCTTGTCATTGTCATATCCTTTCTTTGTATACATTTTGTTCTACCTACCATTTTATTCATTTGTTCGATTCTTAATTATAAACTGTTGTCTGATGAGCACACATTTACTTTACATGTATAATTGTTTGTGTCGATTTACGGTGTCATAACATAAGATTTTGCTTCTTTTATTGAAATTTGTGTGCGTTTAACTGAATTGTGTTCATGAATTTCCAATTTTTTTTACCCGCATATCATTCTCTGATGTGCGCGTGCTGAATCCTCATTTGTTCCGCTTAATTCTACGTATAAATTTAAAGTGCATTAGTATAAACAACGAAGGTTTTCAGATGTGTTTGTTTATTACTTAAGTTGTCTATCTGTATTTTGTTTATTGTAATAGGACATCATCAATAGTTTTCCATTTTTTAGATTCTGTGCGTTTACCCGAGTTATTACATACACAAAGAGTTCTCTCACGCATACATATAATACTATATATATATATATATATATATATATATATATATATATATATATATTTGGAGTGATTTTTCCGTAAGACAGTCTGCAGGAAGAATCGTCATTTACATTCGCTCTCTTTACTATCAGTAAATGTGTTGCCTTATTTTCTTTTGCAATAAAACATACTGATGTACTATAATAGTTGTTATTATTGATTTTCACAACTTCTGTGTTGCTGCACACTGTATAATGAATGAAATAGCTATTACGTATTAATTTTTCCCTGTTTACCAAATGACACCAACTATTATTGGTATAGAAATATTTACCTTGAATATTTATGTACATAAATAAATTTGGTCTCTGTGTTAATCTTTCGATCAATGTTTTGACGGTTAATTCGTTCAACTTATTGGCACTAATTTCCAGGTTCAAATACAACCACGTACTTTTGTTTGGATAACTGGCTAGTAACATTAGCCCTCATATTTAGTGTCTCATACTCAAGTACCTAGTGGGTGAGTTAATGAATTAATTTTCTTCAGCTGAACGTATAGTATAGATAAGTTTTTAACTTGTTATCACTGTCCCCGTGTAATAAAACCGCAATGTCAATCGTCATATACAAATAACTATCGTTACACGTTTTACTATTCCTTAATTATTCTTAGTTAATTATGTACTGTTTATTTCGGTCTCTGCCACTTACTGCATGATTGTCTTCAAAGTATGATTTCTTATTTGGTATGCTGTGTATTGTAGTAATTCCCTTTCATAAGATAATGGGTGTTTTAGAATTTCTTGGCTGGTTGATTGAAATATGATAATTATCATAGAAGCTCGGCCGCAGACTTCTTTATGAACTCAAGGCTGGGAATCGGAAAAAGCTTTCGGATAGGCGACCAATAGGGTTGTAGCTAACGTTAGCTCAAGATCAATTGTATTGGTTAGAAATTATCATTGCTCAAGGCTATAAACGAGTTAGCAAATTCGGGTTTCCAAATTATGATAGGGTATTCTGATTGGCAGATTTGGCATGTGGTATCTCAAGATGTAACAGTTAGTTCATGAAAAAAATAAATATGCCCAGAAAGTTGCACATCATTAGTGATTTCGGGGCAATCGATAGCTACATCTGTACACTGCAAGATACGTTAAGCAGATTATGTAGAAGTAATAATACACATAATTCTCATCTAAACATTAAAATCATGAAGTTCAGCAAAGTTATCTCTTCAACGAATTACCAATCTATATACATGAATTGATTTGTAAACGCTTTTTTTTCCCAACTTTATAAAAACTTCAGACTAAATGGTGATGTTGAAGCGGTCCGTCCAAAATGTACGATAGCAGTTTCACACTTGTCCACCTTTCGCTCACAATCTTCTTACATGTCAGTGTTCTATTGGACAAATGCATATCATCCTGTTACAGAGTTTAAAAGAAACTGATAAGAGGATAGTGAGATTCTACCGTACCAAATTATCTACAATTATTTCGAATAATTAGTGTAATGGGATGAAGTTTATCTGTAAGAAATTGATGATCTAACTTAAAACACGTATCATCACAAATACAATCAGCACTTTCTTTAACATTTCTGACAGGATATAAATCAAATTTCATATTTAGCCAAAAACGGCTGCTTAATTAAGCAATCTTTGTCGTAAGCATTAATAGAATATAAGTAGTATAGAATACATCTGTCGGAGTGCAACTATTCGAGAAACACAGAATATGAATGTGTGTAAATTTTCACAATGGGATCGTAAATAACATCGTATCATCTATGAAGGTGTTAAAAAGGGAAGATATGCAATTTCATGATTTAATCATATTTCTCATTTAAAGTAGTCAATTTATTGATATTGTAAATCATATGCATTAAGTCATTACTTACTTACGCCTGTTATCCCTCGTGGAGGAGCATAAGCCGTCCACTAGCATTCTCAACCGAACTCTGTTCTGGACGATCCTTTCAAGTTGTTTCTAGTTGCTATTGTTCCTTTTAATGTCTGTTTCCATTTCTCGGTGCAGTGTGTCCTTTGGTCTTCCTCTTTCCCATTTCCATTCAGGATTCAAAGTGGGCGCTTGCCTCGTGATGCAGTTTGATGATTTCCACAATGTATGTCCTATCCACCTTGAACGTCTTTCCCTAATTTCCTCTTCGGGTGGAAGCTGGTTTGTTTTCTCTCACAGTAGGCTGTTAATGATGGTATCCGGCCAATGTATGTTGAGTAATCTTGCGAAGACCATTGTTTATAAATACTTGTACACTGTTAATGGTGGTCGTAGTAGTTCTCTAAGTTTTTGTGCAAGTTACTTTTGACAGTCGATGCCGAAAGTTAGTGGTTTATTTAAATAATAACTGACAAAATAGGAAATTTGAAAATACACATTATGGAAACATTGTCCATATAAAATGTCTTCTGATTTGGCGGTTATAGATCTATTTTTCATATGTACATTTATTAGACAAATTATTCATGGTATTCTGACGTGTTCTAATTGTAGCTCATTATTGACCTGTTAGTTGTTGTTGTTGTTGAATATTTTACAGTTCATAAAGGTCACGAAACAACCAATGATTATTGTTTAATTCAGACAGTCATTAACCAATTTCAACATTTTTAAAAAGACCACCTTATTGATCACTCAGATCTACATTTTTAAAGTATATTTTACAAAATCATACGACTCTGTTATTGATTTGCATCGTGAAATATCCTTTATTCAATAATAATTTATGATATTCTTTCTAGTCATCAAAAATGAAAATACATTAAGGATCTGTGATGTACAGGATTCAACAAGTTTAAATAAAGGTCGAGCTTTGTTATAAGCTGACTAAAATTTAAAGTATGAACCATTTGATGCCTACTAACTAGATCAATCACCTTGTATTCGATACTGAACCATAGGGTTCTATAATCGAACTTTTGAAGCATTCAAAATATTGACAAAACAAGTATCTAGTAACCTCTTGTTTACAAATAGTTTACTAATGTTTATTTATAGATGGTGTTACTTTTCAAAACGAGAAAAACCCAACCATAAATCACTATCTAATGTATACCTTCTAACTGGAAAAGTCGATTCACAAAAAAAATAAACATTTAAATTCTTAATGATAGAGATATTTTAAAACTAAGCTAAATAGTATAAGTAAAATTGAATGGTGGTTAGCAGTGAAATTTAGGATGTGTATTTTGTCCTATTTGGGTTAATCATTATTAAATGTTATATTTTCGGTGATATGAAATGTTATTTCTCAGTTTTTATAACTAAACATTCGTCATTAGTAATTAATTAATTTCAATGGCTGAGATCATGAGTCAGTTGAAGCTAGACCACCATAGAAAACCTGAAAGCACTGAACGGCTGTTTCGTGCTGTTGTGGGACTTCTCAGCAGTGTGCTTCAACTGACTCATGATCTCAACCATTGAAATTAATATAATATCCACAAAACTTTTGATATTAATTAATTCTTAAAGATTTTTATTCAGTATACATTTACTTTATAGTTCTCATGTTACTTATTATGTCATTTGATTATTTCCATAGTTAAATGTTTATCCCATGATTTTAAGATTTTCATCTAACTTTTTTTTACTTGAAAATTTTAATTCATTGAATATTATGAACAAAATAGTTGAGTAATGTAAGAAACTACAACCTTTAACAAGTTATCAGTATGAGGTTGTGGAGATTGTTGAGTTTTTTTTATTGAGATCATGAATAGAACAATTTTGGGGCCGTTTATTTTGTCGTCTTTTAGATCGGATAATGTTGTTGAAGGGCTCTCCACTTTAGTGGCCCGTGATCTCACTTCAAGGAGATCGTAATGAATGATTGTTATTAGAATATATATGTCGCCTATCCTCGTATATAATCATCGACTTAAATCGCGTTAGTCAATAACGGAATTAAATAAGTCAAATAACGAGAATGGACTTTTAAATACATATATTTCGTACATGAAGCGAATGGAATAGAGAGAAGCGAAACGACACACAATGGAGATGGATGGTAAGTCAACTCCCTTTAGTCAAGCGTTAATCAATATTTATAGTCACACAAAATTAAGCTACAGACATGTTGTGAATGGAATAAGATGTGTACACACACCTACGCGCTCATATAAAAACAGTCAAGATTGCTAAGCGAATAGTTAACACGGTCAGAATGTGACTCAAGTAAAATGAATAGACTGAGCTGTCCGAAAGCTGGAATAAGGTATATGGGCTTAACAATAATAACCGACACTAAACAATCTTAGACAACCATTGGAAATCTAGAAGTACTGGACAGCCGTTTCGTTTTAGTATGGGACTTTTCATCAATGCTTATCCATGATCCCACAAGCGGGATTTAAACCTAGGACTTTAGGAAAAATGTTCTTTTTTTGCTTTCAGTTCACCTTGAAATGAATGAAGTAATTGCTTTTATTAATTTTTAAATTAGTCATACATCAAATAGTACATTAAACAATGAATTAGTTAGTTTGTATACAATTCTATTCAAACATAAATTAGCCCACAGTGATATGTATAACAAATCATAGATATTCAATAGATATATATAGTGAATAGAATAAAATAGATACCTAATTCAATATACAATATTATTATGAATTAATTGTATTGTCTATTAATTGATTGACACAATTTACAAATATGTAAAATAGGTGAAACTGTTTACTTTGTTATTATTTATGTACAATTTAGTTTATGTGTTTCATTCTCTATTCATGTAATATAAATACAGAATTAAATTTGATTGAATTATTGTCTTCACTTTTGAATAAAACGTATTTATACTGTATATATATTCTACTACTTATGTCGACAGACATAAGTAGTATGTAACATCA